TAATTAGTTTTACTGTTTGATCTCTTGAATTGGAACTGGAATTGGAACTGAGGCAAAAGCTAATCAGTTAATTGCTTGGCTTTAAGCCGCCGGTCATGTAAGGGGCACCTCACCACCGATAGCTGTGCGTGAATGCGAGAATTTCTGCAACGCCGGCTCCCAAAAACAACTTTGACAACTTCAATTTCAACAATGGCAGGTCAGAAATCACGCAAGCGCGAAATAGCGATAAAACAGAGTGGACCACTCGCATCCTTGTCACTCACTTATCACACAGACCAATAGTGCTGGCAATTCAGCTTTTATTTCTAGCAAATCTAGCCTTTTTCGTCATAAAATGATGTCCCTTAAAATACATATAGCGAGTGTATATTTAATATGTGATAGAAATATATAGATAATTTTATAAAATATTTATCAAAATCAAATTAATAATCAAATTAAGCTGTATTATGTATTTTAGAGTCGAGCAATGCATCAAAAGAAATTAAAGCAAGTAGCCAACCCCGTCTAAATAGATTTACAACTTCTTGTTAAGTGCTGATGTATTTTAAGGACAATTTGGAATAGATTCTTCTTTTAGTGCATATACCAGAGTTAACTGGAACTTATTTATTATAAACAAAAGTTTAATTTGTTTTTGAAATATGTTCTTTGCCTTGGCATAAACTTATATGACGCCAGATTTCATAAGCTTGCGAAGGGTTTTCAGATTTAATAATAGAACTTGATTGACTTATTGAAAAGTTGTTTTGAAAATATACTTGTATCTTTTGGCAAGATCTTTTCAGATACCATATTTCATATGCTTGACAAGGATTTTCTTTTGTTTTCCGATTTCTTATAGATCTGAATTTCATAAAAAACTATCTTTTCTTTTTAACATATATTTGAATATTTTGGCGAGAACTTCTTAGAAGCCAGTTTTTATAAGCTTGCCATTTCCGATATTGAATAGTAGACTTATTTTCTGCTAGCAGCACTGTCTGGCTCTGGGCTCGTCTTTCTTTTGGGCGCATTGAGCTGTCACATCTTGAGACAAACCTGGGGCCCACTGTCAATCAGATTGTTCGCGTTCTCCCACGCCTGTCCATCTATATCTTGCGGTTTCGAGCTGGCGCTGTTCACGTTTTCCCAATTTCGAGTCATTAATTTTACAATTTCCCTGCGCCAATGTAATTGATGTTGTGTTTTGTGTGCTGTTGTCATTTTTGCGGTTTCCATTGCACACACAGACGCACGCCCCTATTTGTTTTCAATTAGTTGAATCGAAAGTGAAAACATGAAAGTGTGAGTTCAAATTGATTTGCCGCGCAAAAGCCACATTGATTAGAGCATTCAGCATTCAGCATGATTAGCTCTAATGATACCGACCGGTTGGCGGGAAATTTTCCAGAGAGCTTTATGCAATTTTGAGTGCCTGAGTCAATTGAGTGCTGCGGCGGCTGCCCGCATCAGTTGACAAATTTGAATATTCTCGTTTATGTCCACAAAACAAACAGACCACAAAATGTGCTCCCAAGTATCCAAGTGACAGCCACATTTTTTTTACACTAACCAAAAATACTAAAACATAGTTGAAAAATTATTTTGTTTTAAAGAAATATACTGTTTGTAATATTTAAAATAGTTGGAACTAAACTGCAACCAACGGAACTGTTTATAAATACGTTCATAATATTCCTTTGTCACTTAATATTAATTTTACCTTTATCTAGAAATATATATATTTAATTGTCAAGTCGTCTATATAAAATTTCTTTCATACTTTTTTTGTTGCGTTCTCAATTTTCCAATGTCTAAAGTTTCAAGTCTTCAACAGCAAGTGTTTACTCCAATAAAGTGAAGAGTATATTTAATGGTTCTCATAAGCATAGCGACGACTTCTGGGCGCCAAAGCAAGTGGCACTTGTTATTATTAACTCTTTGATGGCTGCTCAAATGATTATAAACACAGCTGCGTCACTTCAATACCCTTCCAAATTTGTACATCATAATTGTTGTCACATTTTCGAATATGTTGATGAACTGTTGAATCAATTCAGTTGGGTTCAGCTGTACAGCTTTCTATAAGAACTTCCTCAGTTTAAGGGTTATGTTAATGGAGCTTGACAGATATACATATGCTGCAAAGGTCAGCTTGTTCGGACTGCAGCATAAAGGAGATATCGATCAAAATTGACATATTTGTAATAATATTTTTCTATATTATAAATACTTTATATATATGCTATTAAAATGTTACCTCAATCTTAATCTTAACGACTCTGCAAGAGTATTTCATTTTCAGCTGTTATTTCTTCGGGTTAGTCAAATTTTTTGTTTTGTTTATTTCATATTTTGTTTTATTTCTTGTTTTTGGTGGCCATTAACATTGATTGCCTGTCATTAAACGTGGCGCATTGTTTTTGTTACCTACAGTATTAATATTTTTTTTTGGTAATATAATTAAACGGTATGCGTATTTGTTTTAATTATGCCGCTTTTGATGTTTTTTTTTTTGTTATTATACTTATTTTGGCAAAAGCAACAGCCACAAATAATAATTGCAAACGACTTCATATTTATTTCGAATTAATTGTATTTCGTGTTTTTTTTGCACTATTTATAACATATTTATGTATTTGCGGTTCACATTGCGCAATTAGGTGGGCCCAAATTAAATTGAACTCTAATTTGTGGTTACACGAATTAAGGTTTGTGGAGCATGAAATCGCTATAAGGTATTTAAAAAATATATATATTATGGCAATGTAACCAGCTAACGTCTGTAAAATTGCAATTGCCACAGTTATAAACTGTTAAATATTGTATAAATAATGTTATTATTTGTACCATAGATAATTAAATATTTTAACTTAAACACGAGTTTGAGTTCTCATATAACAGATTTCACTTTCATTGAATATTTACGTGCGTCCACTTGTTCTAACAAAACTAATCGCCATGAGAGTTCTTTTAACCACAAGTAAATTATAATTTTTAATTAATCTATATTTAATTAAATTAGTAATTTTCCCAATAGTCTTTCTTGGCCTGACGCTGTTTCTGGGGCTTGCTGAAGCAGGTTTAAATTGGTATGATTTTCATTCCAGACCACATCTGCCCATCATAGGCCCGACCGTTTAGTATTCCAGTAAGCCAATACAATGTTTTAATAAAGAACTTTATGCGTTGAATACTAAAATGTCGGTAATTGCTTGTACTATAAAGCGTATTATTTGTTGGGGAGGATCTGGTTTGTGTGATTCAAGGAAAGAGCAAGAAGAATGCAACTAGATTCTAGTATAGCAAATTATTTTGGCTTAAATGATTGAAATAATTGAATTTGAATACAGTTAAATATTGGTACGATTAGGCTCTAGCACAGCAAAGTAGTAACAATTCTATTAAAGACAATCAAATGTCATTTTAATACATTTTACTATTTTCATATATTGCACAGATTAAATTTAAGTACAAAATATTTAAGCAGCCCGTCGACTATTTTGCATGTATGGATCTGATCTTAAACTAGTGTAAAATATTGCTTAAACTTGTAATTCCCAAATGAAAAAAAAGGTAGCTCAAGAAGTTAAGGCGAAAGACCTTAAGTCTATCTTAAGTGTAAGAATTTACATTTGACCATAAGCTTATGAACTAGATTTGCTACTGTTTGGGTTAGCCTCAGTTCTTAAAGAAATATGTTTATTTAAAATATTTAATGGCATTAAACTTCGCTTGTTATATTCATATTCGCTTTATTCACCAACCTAAAGCTTTTATATGCTAGGCATAAATGTCTATACATATATATTTATGTCTCTTGCTTGGCTTCCCATACATGGGCCGTCTTTAGAATCAACTAGTTTACATATTAGGATTGAGTCATTAGGCTTTTGGCAATTTGTCAGTCATTCAGATGCTCACACGATGTGTTAACATGCAAATTGATATCTCAAGAACGACAATACATAAACCCATATTATTGATGGGGCAAAAACTAAATCGTATCTTATTCGACGAACGTGTTTAAATCACATCTGTAATGATGGCCCTGCCAGCGGTTGAGCTCAGACGGAGATACAGACTGAGACCGAGACTGAGACAGAGACCGAGACTGAGACCAAGACCGAGACACAGGCCCAGACCCAGACCCCATCTTCCACATGGCCTGTCCATTGATCAATGAATTTTTGTGCGGTTTTATGTGGTCTATGGTCTCCCCTCCTGCTGCTGCTTCCGTTGTCGACATTGTATTGTGGTTGAGTTGCCAGCATTGTTTTTCTTGTCGCCGTCGTCAACCTTACACCGATTCGTAACTTCATTGATAAAACTTGTTGTAGCTGACGCTTCCTCTTTGTAAGTGATTTTTTTACTTCTTCTTCTCTGCCGCTTTAGCTTGGAGTAGTTTGAATTTGTAAAACAATGTGTGATACGTGTCTGAGATAACTGCGACTATATGGAGAATAAATATTCTTTATCAGGGCGAGAGTCTTTAAAGCCATTGTTTTATCGATTTTTAAAAGTATTTTAATTGTCAATATAACTTGAAAATGCTTTATTGGAAATCATAGTTCTTTCATATTTCTTTTGTTTTAAATTTTGTTTCCCACCTATTTTCCGCCCGTATCGGTGGATATTAAAAATTGCCTACTTTCACACTTGTAGGTGAAATTTTGTTGAACCCAAATGGCTTGCAATATCAAATAAATTTTATTTTAGTTAAAGAACTCTCTTTGTTCTCTGTTCTAGTCAGGATGACTAGACTTCGATTAGATAACTAAAATATATCGAATGCCCTGTGTGTGGTAGGGTATTTGAGCTTCGGCTTTTTTAGGCTACACGTACTCTTTTGTTTTTATACAAATCCGGTCGGTAGCTTGATCGCTGTGAATACTATGTGACTGCCATGCCCCAGTGAACAGTGTGGGTAACTAGTCAAAGGCAGCTGTTGACTGAAAACACTGTAACCTAGTGTTGATCAACACTGTCATTATGTATGAGCGTTAATTATTAAATTCCTTTTTCAATGCAATTTATTAATCGCCCGTGCTGATAGGAATACATAATGTGTATATAGCGATAGATACATAAACCATAGTTATAAAAGATTTATATGCATATACCTGTAGTTATATGTAAATGTATGTGTATGTGTGTGTTCTGCTTGCTGATGTGTGCATTTACCTTACGCTGCTTTTGCGACTTTTATGCCCTAAGCTGCTATGGGCTCGGCTGGCTCATCGGGAATTAGATAATCCAGGTTTGCCTGCAATGGAATCTGCTCGCCTGCAGCTACGGCTGCAACGGCCGGAGGTTCAGCATTGCCGGAGAGTGGCACGACAATGGGATTAAAGACGCTCCTAGCAGCGACATTTTGGTCATTCACTTCCATCTGAGGCACCTCCAAAGACGGCGAGTTGCCAAGTAGATTGATTGTTGACGCCTCCACGACCAGCGGCTCATCATTGGGCGGCGGCGCTTTGGTTTCCGTAGCATTAGCCGGAATAGGTGTTGGCACCGGCGTGCCGTAGACGCTGTGCAGCAGCGCAAGGGACGCCACAACTATAAGCATCACCGAGACTGATTTTAGTTTATTTAACGTTTGTCTAAGCCTATTTGTTACTTTACCACATGTCAATAGAACTGCTGTTAGAACTTTCATGTTGCTCTCTTTCTCTCTCGCTCGGAATGGGCCTGAACGTGCACAGCGTTTGGGCCGCTTTTATACAGAATTGCAGCCACTTGGTCCAAACAATGTGGCAAGAATCAATTAACTTTTATGGCTCTTCATAATTGCTGATAAGGTAAACACCAAATGGGCCTTGCGAAAGAGTGCATTTGGCTGTGCTCCACTTCAAAGTAAATTTGATTATATTCAATTACGATAAGAACCAGTGGCAATTCTGATTTCCTTCTATCAATAATATTTTCTGAACTGGGGTCAAATTTACCAAGAAAAGTTTCGCACAACAGGCGTTCGTGAAGGAACATCTGCTTTATACCAAACAGGAGGCAAGGCCATGTGGGACATTGAATTCGGTTAGAAAACTAGCTCATGACAATATTTGTGCTGTTGATCAGCTGAAAAAGTGACCATGGAGGTCATGTGAATGTACATAACTATAGAAGAGAGTAGAAAGCTTTGTGTGCCCATCATAAAATCTTAAAATACAAAGAAGACTTACATTAAATACATTTAACATAAACGAACCATTGAGGACATATTGAAATGTAAATTAAAGAGGAACTTTTAAATATATTTAAATTTTTAGATATTTATAAATTGAGTAAAAAAGTGACCATAGAAGCCATAGAAACCATAGAAGTGCCTATAGAGGACATGCATATAGAAGCAAAATCTATATTATACATATTAATATTATATACATTAATACATATTATATATATTATTATTATCTATTTTAATATTATATTATATTATATATAAGTATATATAATTTTCTAATATCTTTGCCCACAAGTCAATACTGACTTCATATTTGATATATAGGATTTTTAAGTTGATGTTTCATATAAAAATCAGTAGGATAACTTCTTTAAAGCAATTTTAATGCTCATAAGAAATTTTAATAATATACCAAACAAATCTTTCAATCTTATGTAAATTAGTTAAACCTATCTAAAAAAAATTGAATTCAAGGATCGATGAACCAATTTTAAAAATATTTAAAAGAGTAGCAAAACGTGACGAAAAAAGAGAATAGTTAACTAAATTAATTAAAATTAATGTCAACTACAACAAATATATATTTACAGGACTTTTTGAACCTCATAAAATGCTTTTGAAATTTAAATTTTATTTAATATATTTTGCCAACATTTCAACTATATATTTGAATCGGCTGCTGCTCATATATCTTCAGAGATTTTGTATGGATGTCTATGGGTTGTTCGGTCATTCTCGTGGTTCCATGGCTCCTTGGTGGTGCTCTTACCTTTAGGCAAGGCCAGAACTTGATTTCTATCATAAGATACCTGCTGCAGCAGCGCAACTATGTGGTTAGAGTAGGAGATATAAAAGAAACAATATATGTATAGGGTTTACATGTTACTTACCCAAACAAGCCAAAAGCAAAAATATGAGCTTCATTTTCCAACTGTGGCTGAGCAGCAAATGCGCTTCATATATTTATTTTGCATTTTATACGACAGTTTCAATGGCATTTTTATAGCGCGTTTATGCTATAAAATCAATTCGAATACTCCGCTTTTTATAGCAATAAACTTTTACAGCGTACAATTTATTGAATGTTCGCGTTAAAGTGTCCAAGAGTAGGGCTTGCGATAAAAGCGCAATTGTCTTTAGGTCAGCAATTGTTCTTTCAATTTTTTATATTAAAGATCCAAATTTAAGTTTTTACTGTAGATGGTAATAGATTAATATCTATTAACATATATTACTTATACAATTCTATTTGAAGAGATCGTATTAATCGGATACCCAAAAGTCAGTTTTCGTATACAATATTAAGCATATATAGAATTTTATTGTTGCACAATCATAAATCGGTATTAAATGGATTAGCTATTACTAGTATTTCCCTATTAGATGTTTTATGGTAATTCCGACAGCTTTCAATATCGACAAAAAATGATTTTAATACAATATTATTGTTTGTGTAAGAGATGCTTGGGATATTGTGATCAAGAAATCATAGTTTATATTTTGATTAAATACGGGACTTGGGATAATATATAATATATTGTTTAATTAAGGTTCCACGTAATCTTGAAGATGTTCAGCGGACATTTCACTAGGGTCAGAAAGAAGAGAAGCGCTCAATTCATCAGGCTTATCGACTAATGGAGAACGAGCTGTGATTTCCGGTAAACTACTGTCTTGAACTGACGGAAGAACTGTTGGCGATGATCGCGATAAACGCTCCTTGCCAATAGGAATTTGAAGTGATTGAACTATTGACGAAGCATACTTCAAGATATTAGATGTTTGAGGTTGCCATTTGGATTCTTGGTTTTTTGGAGTTGCAGTGGACTCATCATTAGGTGCAGGACCAAACTTTGCGGAATTAGAAATAGCTGGAAATTTCACAGAGTAGTTAATTGATGATGCTGGGGATGAAATAGAAGCAGAGTCCAAGGAACTTGCGTTTTTGTTTAATTGAGAAAGCGGGGTGCTTAAATCAGGAATTCGAATGGATTGAGCAATTGAAGAAGACTTCGATGAATCAGTGTGAGCATTCCTATCAGGAAGCTGTTGGAATAAATGGGAAGTCTGAACTGTTTGACTACCCGTTGCGGAATCCTGCTTATTATTCGGTGGAAAAAGAATTGAATGTGATGACGAGGTAGACTGCAAGGAACTTGTCTCTGTTTCATTTTTAGGTGCAAGACCAAAGTTTGAGGGTTTAGAAATAACTGGAAATTTGACAGAATGGATAATTGCTGATGATGAAGCAGAACCAGAGTCCAAGGAACTTGCGTTTTTAGTTAATTGAGAAAGCGGGGTGCTTAAATCAGGAATTCGAATGGATTGAGCAATTGAAGAAGACTCCTTTAAATCAGTTTGACCATTCCTATCAGGAAGCTGTTGGCCTAATTGGGAAGTCTGAACTGTTTGACTACCCGTTGCGGAATCCTGCGTATTATTCGATGGAAGAATATTTAAAGATGATGACAAGGATGACTGCAAGGAACCTGTCTCTGTTTCTGATTTAGTAAGTGGTTCGTTTGTCGGCGAGGACGTATCATTTACGTTAGGAAGTTGAACTGATTGAATAAATGATGAAGAAATGTTCTTGGACGGCTCAGTAGAATCATTTCTTTGAAGAATCAGATCCCATAGTGGATTTAACGTCTGTGTTGCAACTATTTGACTACCTGATGCGGAATCCTGATTATTATCGGATGGAGGAAGAATTAAAGGCGAAATAGACTCCAAGGAACCTGTCTCTGTTTCTGATTTAGTAAGTGGTTCGGTTGACGGCGATAAAGTATCATTCACGTTAGGAAGTTGAACTGATTGAATAAATGATGAAGAAATGTTCTTGGACGGCTCAGTAGAATCATTTCTTTGAAGAATCAGATCCCATAGTGGATTTAAAGTCTGTGTTGCAACTATTTGACTACCTGATGCGGAATTTAAAGGTGATGACGGATTTGGCTCGAAGGAACTTGCCTCTGTTTCTGATTTAGTAACTGGTTCGGTTGACGAGGAGAAATTATCATTCACATTAGGAAGTTGAACTGAGTGAATAAATGATGAAGAAATGTTCTTTGGCGGCTCAGTAGAAGAAACAGAGGCAAGAAGAATCAGCTCCCATAATGGATTTAAAGTCTGTGTTGCAACTATTTGACTACCTGATGCGGAATCCTGCTTATTATTCGACGGCAGATGATTTAAAGGTGATGACTCCAAGGAATTTGCCTCTGTTTCTGGTTTAGTAAATGGTTCGGTGGACGAGGAGAAAGTATCATTCACGTTAGGAAGTTGAACTGACTGAATAAATGAAGAAGAAATGTTCCTTGGCGGCACAGTAGAACCATATGTTTGAAGAATTAGCTCCCATAATAGGTTTAAAGTCGGTATTTGAACTGACTGTATACCTGCTGCATCCGGAGCGGGTCTTTCATATTCTGGATATCCTGCACGTGTCGGGTATACTGATTCTTTGTAGCTTCCATCCAGTACGGGATGCGTACAGTTTTGTTTCTTGATTTTTTTTAATTTACACGGAGAAGTATTAGGTGCTTCTGCTAATATGCTAAGTTTTGGCTTGAATAGATTCTTGAAATGCTTGCATCTATTAACACTTGAGCCAGATCGTCCTCGAGTCCTTAATTTATTCCGCTTAAACATCTGATTTTTTCCGTATGTCAGCTCAACTAACAGTAAATAACCTATTTCGGGCATTATTTAATTCTCACGTTTCATTTATCTTATTGTCATTTTTCTTTTTTTACTTACTGCATATTTGGAAGAGAACAACCTTGTTTATAAGCATTTTGCTCGAGCACTCAGAATAGAGTAAGTGAATGTGTATCTTTAAGTTGGTTGCTTCTGTAGATTTAACCGAGAAAGATTGGCGTTTGTTGCGGTTGGTTGGATAACTTTTCTACTTTTCGCTATGCCTTTTATGAAAGGTCGAAGATATGTTCAATATTTCAGCAATTTAATATAGTCCGTTTCCGCATGCTAATTAGGTTGGTTCCGTTTTGTTGGGTAACCAGCTTGACCTTAACTGATATATGACAGCTCAATCAGCTTGAAAAACTGGATTTTATTTATTTTTTATAAAATTTAACCCAATTTTATTTTACTATTCACAGCAAACTATGGACAAAAGGGTTCTAAATAACATTATTTTACAGACTGGAAAGTTGCAAACATTTTAAATGTTTTGCGTCAGAATAAACTATAGATGTGCATATGCAGAGATATCGTATATATGTATGTTATGTAAAGGGTAAGATAAATATATTTATCATACTTCTTTTATATAATATGGTAACATATTATTATTTTTTATAAATGTTTATTGTATTGAATCAAAAATAGCATACATTTTTATTACAACACGGTTGGCTTATTTATTATATATTATTCTGTGAAAAAAAAAGAAAAAGTGAAAAAAACAATTAATCCTTAAAATAAAATGAAATATATAATAAGGGTTTCCACGTTTCTTCATAAGCAAGAACAAGATTTTCCTATATTTTCTAGTAAACCAGGAAGTCAGCAACATTCGTAAATATTCAGAATATATGTATACACAGGGATAGATATTTTATTGATTTACATCAAGTTGTGCTTTCTTGAATTGATAACGTTTCTTAAGGACAGAAAGCTACGCAGCCGCCATAAATTGGTGGAAGTGTCTCGCTTGTAGGTGGACTCTCAGGGGAATGTTGGGTAGTTTCTGTGCCAGGTTCGATTCTTAGGCTGGATACTTCAGATTCTCTATACGTTGGCAGAGGAAGTTCCCAATGGCTTATATAATTGAAGATCCATTGGAAACCATTTGTTTGACCTGGATTCTGATTTTTTTGCAGATTCTCCAGCTGATTCTCTTGCTTATTTTGTTGATGATTTTCTTGCTTATTCTCTTGGTGATTCTCTTTCTTATTATCATGCTTATTATTTTGCTGATTCTCGTGCTGTTTCTCTCCGGATTGTTCGCAATCGTTCTCTTCATTCGTAGAACAGGGATTTTCACGTTCATTTTCTGGTTGGTAAATTTTAATCTTTATCGACAACTCTTTTGACTTGGCTTGGCGATTATGACCTTCTTCACGGTAATCAACATCAAGTTTTTGATTATGTGAAGCATTCTCCTTACACGGCAACATATGGACATACTTGGAGCCAAGTACTAGCCAAAGACCTGGTTGGAATCAAAATTGATTAAAATATTCCAATTTTATATTATATTTCTTAATTCATTTCGCGTACTTACAGCATATCAACAGTTGTGCTCTTGCCATGGCCAGCATGTTGATGCCTAATATTGCATTAAGCCACGTCTTGGACGATCTCTCAGTTTTATAAAAGTCTTACATATGCCTAAGTCAATTGGATTAGTTTCAGTGTCCTAACCTAATGCTATTGTCGTTTCCGCTTGTAATAATTGTTCTTACTGCGACTAAATCAATTTGTTTTTTATGTAAGCTGTTGGTAAAGCCAATCAAACTTTGCGACGAGTCAAAGTCAGCAGCAGATAAAAGCAAGAACAAAATATTATATTATGTGGTTCAGTTTTTACCCGAAATCGCAATTGTTTTGAGCCAGATCTAATATTAATTTTTTGAGAGATTGCAAAATCTTTGGCTGGGTTAGGGTTGGTTTTGAAGATCGTCTGTAGTACAATATATTTTCAATTCTGAGTACCTAACTTAACCTTATAAGACTTTGTTTCATATAGAAAAAAAAAGAATAAATAAACCAAACAGCGGAAGTGGCTTTAAAAGGCCTCTAACTGCTGTACTTCATACGATATTAACAAAAACCCTAGAAATCTGTTTTCATAAGAAATATACTGTAAATACATGAGAGTTCCCAAGTATTCGGTTTTCATATGCAAAGCGCAGCAGGTTCAACGTGGGATTGCATAGCTTTCTGTCTTTCCAAGCATAATTTAGACATTCTGATAACATTTATGGCTCGATTGATTTGTGTGCGCGTCTGCTATGCATTGGGAATATGAAAGTTTTTGGTTATACGAGCCTAGCTAGAAGCTAGTGTAAATGTTTTTGTAAATGATATTGTTTATAAACAGCGGGCGGTTGGGTTCTGTTACTTAACCCATGCCGTGGCTGCCCGCTGCTGACATACATACTCGTTTCGACTTGATATACACTGCAAATGGATGTGGCATGTTGCAATCAAATTACATGCAACATTTCACAATTTGTGGTTAAATGGACATTAACATAAATGCCACACTCAACTCAAATCGTTTTTCAATTGCATTCGTTTTCTATTTAAATCGAAATTAAATGAAAAGCGAGACGATTGCGCGACTGCAACCGTTTTGCAACACTACATTCAACAAGAGCCAGCGAAATAATAAGTATTGAAGTGTGGCTAATGCTAAATACCCGTCGAGGGTAATTCCAGAAGTTACAGTGTGTGAAAAGGGACTCGAATTTTAGCCCAGTTGGTAAAACTTTTTTTTTTTGACATTTTTACATTTATTGGGATTACATAACGTTTTTACTTTTTTAAATATTTTTATCCAATTTTAAATCTATCAAAGATTTAAAGAGCTAGAGATTTTAAATAAAGTACTTACAAATTGTTAATCTTTTCGGCTTGTTAAATTGTATAAGTTATTAAATAACCTCAAAATAAATAGTTTTTCAAAATATTGCTTTCATTCTATATACCTAGATGTCTTGTGATATATTTTATGAGCTCTCCATATTTCATAAGATATGATCAAGTTTTCTCTTCTATTTAATATAGGTTTATTTTTATTTGATTTTTGTATTTTGCGTTTTATTATTTGTCCACTTTAGGCCCAACAACTTTTGTAGCTGCCCTCGTTTTCACATTGTCGCAGCAAAAACGTACCTCAAAGCGTTTTCTTTTGGGGGCTTACTTTTTTCTTTCCCAACGCTTGAGAGTATTTTATTTGATTAGTCGAAAGAAATGCCAGATTTGAAAAAGAAAGAGTTTTTTATATTGCGTGCAATTTGCGGTTGCTGCTGCCAACAAACATTTTGCGGTAATATTTTATTTCCACTTTCGCTCGCCGCAGCGCCCTATCCTACCCGTACCAACGTACCAAATCAAATTGGCATTTAGGGCTGATTTATTGTGTGCTATGCGTTAGATATAATATCTTGCAGGCGTTGCTAATGTGTCAGGTGTGTGTGTGTGTGTGTGTCTCAAATGTAATTGAAAATTGAAAGTAAATGCGGCGCGTTGTCAACTCTGTAAATAAACAATATGAAAGTGAATATTTGATCAAAGCTAACTTTAAAGGTCGTTATTGTGTCTGCCGACTGAAGCTTATTTAACATGTTCTTGGCCTGAACTCGTTATGTGGATAAATTTACCGAATACACAGAAATATTTCGCACAATAAATCACTTTGCGTTAATTTATCATCATAATTATGAAAACGTAGACAAGCAAAATATGCATGAGCAAATATATGCCCAAAACGCAGACAAAACAAATATATATCAAATCTTTTCAATGGAAAACGAAATTTAAAATATATGAAAGCGAGCTCCTACTGAGCTGAGGGTCTTTGTGAACTCTTCTAGTCTAGAGGGCTGCGTTAATGTCCCAGCATAACTCAGATCTTAAATTCGTATGGTTAAAGGGTGTGCAATGTAAAGGGTTGCAAATTTTACTTTCCCCATCTCTATATGCACAAGATTTATTCTATGTTTGTTTGTATAAATTACATCTTTGGAGATTACAATAGATAAATATATATATATCTGAAATAATTTCATGTATATCGCCACATTATTTTCCAGTCAATAGTTTTGCAACAGCTATTAATATTTATTTAATTAATTGAATGCAAATTTGAAATAATTTGACTTATTTTAAATAGAAGTGTTTCAAACAGCTGACTGTGTTTGAACTTATTCAAAATGCCCAATTCGAGGTCAAAGTTGGTTATAAAGACCGACAACAAGAAGGTAAAGACACTAAGAATAAGCAGAATGTCATTAGCAGACTTTTCTACACAGTTCGAAGCTATAACTACTTGAGAATTATAAGCAACAAACAGATGAAGCCAAGCTGACCAGCTTTTATTTAGTTTGCACTATAAAGGTCTTTTAACATATTATGTGTCTTCTAAACGAATCTAATTTGAATTTTCTGAGGATTCTCATTAATATTTATTAATCTAACAAATTCGGATTCCAACGCATTCCCTCTTCACTATAATATGGTTTTATGATCCACAACTTCAAGGCCACTTCAGCTGGAGTTTTTTTTTGGGAATTTCTGAAAATTAATTGCGATATCTAAGCAAAACCTTTTGAATACCCAAGATCGCATGCAAATTAAAATTTGCAATATTTCGACTAATTCTATTGTGTGGGTTTTTTGTGCTCAAAGGTCGCAGACAAATGGGCTCCCAGCGATACCTGCTCTGAAGGCCACGGCTGCTAATCCAGCTCGCAATCGATGTTGGGGCCGCAAAGCGACGCGCCCTTCCGCTTGAGCTCCCCAAGCCGACGATGACAGCGGATATGAACAAGACGAGCTTGTTGTCGGACACTTGGGCACCTGTTTGCTTAACTGCAGCTCCAGCTGTTGTGGCTCAGCTGCTAAAGTTTTTTTTTCGTATTTTTTTTTTGCATTTTTTGCTTCAGCTTCTTATTATGTGCCCTGATGGCTTTTGCGGCAGCTCGTGGCACTTGCCACTTGAGCAGCGGCCGCAATCGGAAGTTCATGTTTATGATACGCTCAGCAACGTCCTCTGGGCGTGCAAATCAACAAAAAGTCATCAGCATTGAAAATCAGCTGCCAACGCTTGAACTTCGACTTGAGGTAGCCGCTGCTGTTGCCCCTCGTTAGGGTCGCCATAAGAAGGCTGCGGTCAGCCGCTGCCCCTAAGCGCCCCTTTGCGAGTGTGATAAGACATGCCATAAATACTGCTAGATGCACGTGTAGACTTCATAAACAGGTGTGGGTAGCTGCTGTCGGGCTGTTTGCAAAGTTTGGCTTAAAAGACTTGCAACATTTCTGTCTTGTGGGAGTTACCTAACAAATATTCGAAAACTTTATGGAGTATATTTTTCTTGGTCATGATTTGTAACTTTCATTTTTGTTTCTATCATATTGTAAGTAATTTTAAAACATTTGCTTTTGGAATAGTTTGTGACATGAAAATTTGTCCGAGCATTTAAAAAATATATTTCCTTAAACATTTATTTATTCGATTTTGGGGGATTAAATTGTCGCAAAAAATTGAGTTCGCGTATTTATTCTGGCGAAACTGAAATTGTTTAAATCAAAAATAAAAAAAATAAATACTTTTGCTAATATTTAACCGAAAAAATGTCCCCGCATTAAAGAAAAATATATTTTCAAAGAATTTAATTGTTTTTGTGTTATTTTTGTTATATCAATGTTGTGTGTTTAAATTAGTAAAAATATTAATTTGGGTCAAAATCTAAGCTCGTCTTTTTTCTCTGATGATAATTGAATGTTTGTTTGTCTCTTTCTATACTAGCTCCGGAATTCGGTTTTAAATCTATCTTAATAAAAATTGCCATTGATTTTATTAATTGCTGAGGGCGGTTAAAATATTCGCCACATAGCAGCAATTGCTAGAAAATGGAGTTATTTTATAGACAGAAATTTATTGTTTTCTGGCAATTACGAGCTTTGTTGACAATGTTGAAAATTAGACTGCTTCATATAGCTGCGGTAGGAACATATACTATCGATTTAGATTGTTTGATTGTATAAAAGCTAGATTCGATTCTAGGCATTTAAATTTTAGCGCTCCAAAGCTGACTGTTCTATTTTTACACAAATCTTTTGTGCATCTGTTTAAAAGTTTTTTCTTACAAAATAAAATCTCAAGTTATTTTTATTAGAAGTTCTTTATTAAGTACTCGCTGCCGTTTTACGTAATCTCTAAAATTGAGGTGTTTGCGCCTAATGCATAACAATGAACATAAATTCAAGTCAATTCAATTGATTTGTCTATTCATACTTTATGGCTTTATGGCCGATAAGTACGTCTAACAAGCGTCCACTTAGCCAACGGGCCACTCAGCTATGCTGGGCGCAGCAGCCGAAGATACAATTGTATCTCGCAGATACAATTGTACGAGTAGCATGCAGTACGTACGTAAGTGCCGCCGCATAAAACTTGATTGATAGCATCATTTGCAAGATGCGAGATGAAAGATGCAAGTCTCTGTTTTTGTTTCTGCTCTCTCTGCTGCTTTGCTGCCTCTTTTTGATTTACAGCTACGGCGAGTATTTATAGGAAATGTGCACGCAGAAAAAAACACGCGCCATTGGTGGGGGGAAGGAGGAAGTGGCTTTGCCACTTGGCAGACGTCGCCATCCGCTGGCCGCTGGCCGCCGACCGCCGGCAGATGCAACTCGAGCAATTG